TAAATTAGAAATCATTTCTCAATCATTGCAATTGGAAAAAAAATTATCCAATTCAAAAAATTAATAATAGAAACACGAATAACATATTTACGCTAGGATATAGAAGTTAGCAAAAGCAGGCTTCTCATTTGAGCGGTATAGATTGGGTGTCAATTTATATTCTGACAAAAAGAGTGAATGTACCAGTATTTATAAAGTCAGAATACAGAGACACTGTTCCGTATTAAATTAATTTTACATAAATTCTTGGAACTTGAATTAATTACAGATTATTGTCTGACACAAGTCAGGATTGCGATTAACGTTTGTAAAACAGCGTATCTTGCGTAGCATTATAGTAGTCGACTACAACACGTTAATTAATTAATTAATTAAATTCCGAATACTTACTCATTTTATTGCGAGTTGTTGTAATATTTTAAAAGCTAGATTACGAGACAATTAATTCACGAATTGCGTTTCTGTCCAATTAGATTTATTAGTTAACTTGTTTGTTTCGTGATCAACTTTTCCGACGAGTTTTCTCGAGTCGGTTGATCGATTCTCGGATCGCTAATTCTATCCTAGCGAGGATACGGAGCACAGGATGTTTAGGCAGAGTCACGTGAAGTTGTTAAAATAAAATAAAAGATATAAATTTAAACGTTCACAAAATGATTTATTAAACACTTCACACGCACGCTCACCCCGGGACAATGGACAATTATAACGATAATACAAACTGGTTGAAATACTCGGAAAAGCGGTTGAAATTTAGGTTGAAAATTGCTAAGACGTTTGTTTTCGCTAAAGGTTCACAAGGATCTGAATTTAAAATCGGAACGGTAATCGTTTGAACTTTCTGTGATGCCCGGTTCGAATCAGCTTCCTCAGAAACTGATCTCGGAGAATGAGGCATCACTTAAGGAATAAATACTTCGAGATCGACGTTCGCAGAGAAAATATACTTTTTATTTCGTAATTACACTGACAATGCTTAAGTGACCGGAAAATACAAGAGACTGAACGGAGGACCAGAAAAGTAGGGCTATATAAAGATTTCGGAAAATGTACTTTGAACGGTGAGAATGCAAGAGGAAAGAAAGAAGAGTCGAAGAGCGAAATGTGACTAAGAGTGAAAGTTGGTGACGAATATGAATCAATGTTTGGCTGTGATAGGATAGGATAGGATAGGATAGGACAAAAATGATTAATTGTTAGGTGAGACGCATAACATTTCGATCCGATCGATGGCGTTGCGATAGGACTAATCCTGTGCGGGAGGGATTAACGCCTGTACGCAGCGGCGTAATACGGCTCAGAAGTGCCTAGGTCTATTATTATTATCTTTATTTTGGAACATTGTTGAATTCTTTGCTTATTACGCAATAAAAGTGCATTTTGTACTTTCGCTAAATTCGTTTCACGGAATTATAACAATCAGATATACTTGTAATATTTTTGCAATAATAATTGTTAATTGTAATATACATTCTCCTAATTTTTGTAATTAAATAAAGCTGATTATTGAAAAGTATTGCCCTGTAGATTTCACTCCTTAATCGTACACTACACGAATTCCACATTCCTTGTAGATATAGTTATTGTAAAAGCGAGTCGTTCAATAGGTAACAGCCGCTCTTTATCTTGTAAGCACTATAAACGTCCGAGCTTGCAAGGAAACATATCGAACTGGGACACACCGATTTTAATGAAATTTATGTGAAAAATAATTCTCAAGAAAATATATGATACGTATTTTTTTTTATCGAGCATCATTCACATTGAAAGGGTGAAAGTGGTCCTCAAATTTAAGAGCTAAAATCATACTTTTGGGAATATCTCTGGAATTAAAGGAGATATTGGAAGCTTCTTTTTTAAATTGTTGGTCTTTAAATATCGAATTTTTTTCGTAAAAAAATTTTAATAAATTTTATTTGTTTAAATAATATTTTGAAAATTTATAATTTTTGTTTAAATTTTTGAACGAAATGTTAATCTATTTTCTTGCAACTTTGTATATATAAACTATGGGCAAAAATAGAGGATACGCATTTTTGGAATTGTTCAGGTATTACTGTTGAGGCTTTCGGGTGTAAGCCGTGTCCTAAAGGAAGCGAGTTCCCAACGTTTCGCCAGCATTGCAGCTAGCTTCATCAGGGGATACACTGATACTGGTGCGATAGGTGTTTTGTCGCCCCTTATATTGTGGTGCGATGCTCACGTTCCGGATCGTTGACTGTTCCGGTTGATTGCGTCCAATCAGAAAGTGGGACTTTTTGATTGTGCGCACAATTAAAAAACTGGGAAGAGCGTGTGCCAGATTGGGTTAATATGATATCCCGGTTGATGTTATTCGGGTGTTTCCGTATTTCTATTGCTTCCCTGTGCTTTCGGGGAAGATAGGCTGATGTTTTTGCCAAAACTTCTGTTTTATCAAATAGGATTTTGTACGACATAATTAGTTATAAGACACAGTCCCGCATGCGTTATAAATAAGATAGCATAAGTCTCACATTCCTTTACTCCTAGGTCCTCAAGTTCACCCCTTTATCTTAACCTAAACATCCTGCTGTGCACATTCATATCTAATTCCGCGAATCTCTATTTACATCACGCAATCTCCAGACAATAACAGATCATAACTAATTTCTCTTTATCTTCCCTTTTGACACCACCGAGCAATATAAAAGCCCAGTTCGAATAGCTTCGCGGCAGTAGCGGTCTGACTAGTCACAGGGTTCGATCCCCTCGTGTTAGAACGCTAGATTTGCTACGGATAACTTCATTTACAATAATACAATAAACGTTCTAGTGTTCAAACGAGTCTCGATAATTAACAATGCAGTGAACGTTTTGTTCATACTAACACTTTTGTCTATTTTGAAGGTTAATAATAATCGGAATACAATGTAAATGTATTTACAAAATGTATTTATTTTATTGGCTATACTTATAAATTTCTACAATTCTACTGTGACGTCGTGCGACGACGTTTGATCTAGTTGCTTAAGGACTAGATATATACATATATATATTGCGTTTCTGACATAATTAGTTATAAGACACAGTCCCGCATGCGTTATAAATAAGATAGCATAAGTCTCACATTCCTTTACTCCTAGGTCCTCAAGTTCACCCCTTTATCTTAACCTAAACATCCTGCTATGCACATTCATATCTAATTCCGCGAATCTCTATTTACATCACGCAATCTCCAGACAATAACAGATCATAACTAATTTCTCTTTATCTTCCCTTTTGACACCACCGAGCAATATAAAAGCCCAGTTCGAATAGCTTCGCAGCAGTAGCGGTCCGACTAGTCACAGGGTTCGATCCCCTCGTGCTGGACTCTGCTAGTTTCCATCTTAATTCCAACCATTTCCTACCAACTCCAAATTACGCGTCTCATTTATATTATAACTCTAAGTTCATTGTATTAGTTTATATTCCGACATCATCTTTAGTATTGAATATATTTTATATTTAGTTATATTCGCCTTTAATCATTTCCTATAAACCCGAGATCTCTTTAAGAGCTTTTGATTATTTAAAATACGTATACTCGATTACGCTGGATCTGGTGGTGCGAGACATAGCCGCACGAGATCAATTACATTGCGAAGTCGAGATAGGTAATCCACATCGCCACGCTGGTGCGAGACATAGCCGCACGGTGCGCATATGATGTGTTTGATGCCTCTGCATTTTTAGTCAGCTCATGGGGAGACAAAGACGAGGAGGTCGTAGATACCAACTACGTAAGATCTTACGCACCTTATACCTACCCTGTCTAGCTCCTACTCCACGACCAGTTATCCGCGACGTTAAGTATCAGTTATTACTTATTGATATACCTGTGAAGAAGATCATAGTGGAGGATCTTCTACCTAAGGATCCAAGACGAGAAATCTATTGTAGAAGTTAAGGAGGAAGCTTCGGGTAAGTACTGTGGCATACTTGTACACCCTGGGATCCCTGACATACGACGGGCGTGGTAATCTGGTGTTCCGCCACCGCTGATTGAATGTGGCCCAACCTGGCGCAACGCTCATGTTCCTTGAGTCTGGTGTTGACGCTCCTCCCAGTTTCGCCGATGTATACTTGGCCGCATGAGCATGGGATTTTGTATACCCCTGGTGTAGACAGCTGCGGCTACGGGTCCTTGGGGGAGGTGAGGAGTTGTCCTATTTTAATATGTGTGGTGAAAACAGTCGTAATGTTATGTTTCCTGAGGATTCTACCTATCCGGTCGGTCGTACCTTGAATGTAAGGTAGGAAGGTAGTTGCGTGTTCTTTGTCGTGTGTGTCTGTCGTACATTTGTGTGTAGGTTTTGTTATTTGGTTGGTCAGTCGGTCTATGGTGCGATTAATTCTGTGTCTGGAGAAACCGTTTTGTTGTAGCGTAGACCTGATGTGTTCCAGTTCATGGGTCAGGTTCTCTAGTTCGCTGATGGAGATTGGTCTCAGAATGAGAGATGTGTATAATTGGTATAATTTTTACTCTTATTATTATCAATCTAACATATATTATTAGCCATATTGTACTCCTATGATCGATAGAACGATAATTACTATGCTTATTACTCTTGTTATGATAAATCTAACTTATATTGTTAGTCATATTATGCTTCTCTGATCGATAGAACGATAATTATTATACTTATTACTCTTATTATTATCAACCTAACTTATGTTATTAGCCATATTATGCTTCCGTGATCGATAGAACGATATTACTATAACGATAAGAAAATAAAATGTTACAGAAGGAAAGAAAATGAAACGAAAGAGCAAACTGAAACTGAAACCCACTTAAATCAAATACAACTGTATAGGGCACGGTGCGCTCATCGGCACGTCTCTCTCTCTCTCTCGCTCTCTCTCTCTCTCTCTCTCTCTCTCTCTCTCTTTTTTTTTTCCCGCATTTCTACTACCTATTTAATTATTTCGCATTTCTACTACTAATTTTACATTCCTAATCCTAATATTTATATATATACATCTACATGAATACGCTATTTACACTTTTGTGAGAGATCGGAGTCGCTATCAGTTTCCATTTCTATATTGGCAGTATTAACATTATTCTCAGAAACAGAATCTTTTACGCGTATCCATGGTTTAATTTTATCTGCTGAGAGAATGGTGTTATACGGTTTCTGCGTGAGATTATATCCTGGAATGTCAGTTACTACAAAACGATTTTTCTTCAGTATTGCTTTTATCTGATAGGGCCCCTTAAACTTAGCAGTTAATTTAGTATTAATACCCGGTTGATTTTGTAGTTTTTTTAGAAGCACTAGGTCTCCTACCGAATATGGAGTGATTTTTTTGTGCCGTTTATCATATTGTTCTTTATTATACTCTTGAAGTTTTCTATTAACTTCTTGAGCTGCCATTCGCGTATTTGTTCTTACTTCTACATAGTTCCGATCAAGTGCCTGCCAGGCGTCGATTAATGACCACAAATGCTCGTCTTTGACACGCCATTGATCAAAACCGAATAAATGTTTGCTAGGCGTTGAATTTATTGCTTTATGAAAAGTGTTGTTAATCACATATTGGACCAAACCGAGACAATCCTTCCATTGTCTAGGTTGTTCGGTTATCTTGGCTAAAGTGGACTTTAAGAATCGATTTACCCGCTCTACCTGTCCATTGGCCCAGGGAGACGCTACTGCTGTCATTGTATGTGAAATTTCTTTGTCCTTTAAAAATTCTGAAAAATTGTGAGATGAAAAAGCTGAGCCTCTATCGCTAATTATTCTATTCGGATACCCTAATAAATGGAATAGTAAAGTTAACGAATTAATTACTTCATTAGCTCCTGTAGACTTAGTCGGAAATAACCAAACAAATTTAGTACACGCATCTACAATTACTAATATATATTTAAATTTTTCCGTTGTTTCCTCTAACGGGCCAAAATGATCAATGTGTATAGTTTGAAATGGTATTGTATCCTTTTCATAGATTTGCATTTCACCTTCAGCCTTTCCAGCAGCTAACGAATATGATAAGCATTGTACACAATTGTCAATATATTGTCTAATTTTTAATTTTAGATTAGGAAACCAATAGTGATCCGTTATCCCGTACATAGTTTTTTCTATACCGACATGTCCCATTTCATCGTGATATAGCTGGATAACTTGATTTATCATGTTCTCAGGTACAACAAATAAATCTTTTTCTTTATAATCCGAAATAAAAGGCCATTAATTAACTTAAATTGTTTACTACCGTGTAGTTCGACATGTTCGGCGATCTCTTTTAATTTTTGATCCGCTAACTGTTTATACATCAATTCGTCTTCG